CACTTCCTTACTCACTGGAGCCCATCCCTCAGGTGCAGTCCTTAACAAGCCATTCTCTTTTTTAAAGATTCTCCTGTAGATAATTCATTTGCTTATGCAACTTTCTCTGTGAAGGTCTCTTAACCTAGAGCTCCAGGCTTGGCTTCTTTCCTCAAACCTTGATACACTCTTTGACTCTGTCCCCCTCCCTTGCAGCCCATCCACTCTGGCATCAAGGTGGCTATGAAGTCTTTTTAATTCTACCCTCTTGCTTACATTTGTCACTTTAGTTCCATACAAACTGCTCAGACCTGTCATTTTTATGCTCAAAAACTTCAATAGTCCAAATTTCTTGGCCTGGCATTTCTTGGCCTCTCAATATACTTCTTCCCCATCTGGTCCATTATTTTCAACTAAGCTAGCTGATTCAGTGACACATAAACACTATTGTATGATCTTTATAAAAAATGCATTAATAAATACTTTGATTATCTTAACTGAAAAGAGGAACTTTTACTATTTTCTGTAGACTACAGAAAATCTTCAGGTTTGGGAAACACTGTTGAATAAAGAAATGAGATAATGCCCTCTACTCATTAGCAGATGCATTCTTTTGTTTTAATGTTGTTACACTTTGCTTGACTAAGTAATAGAAAGAAATTTAATAAGTAGCCCTCCACTCCTACGTAATGAATAATCCAATCAGGATTGAATCCCACCCTTTACATCTCATCCAACAACCTTTTGAAGCACAGACCAGTGGTGATCAAATATCTCTTTCTGATGATAGATAACATTTAAGGGAGGAGATGATAACTGGTTAATTCTGTTCATAGCTAGAACTTTAGAGACTGGCATAGTAAATCCCACTTATTTTGGTGACATTCAGAGACTTAAAAATTTTGCTCCTCAATATATACTAATTGTTCCATTCAAGTCTCAACATAAACATGTTTGTTCATTCAACACCTTATTACTAAACACCCCCGTGCCAGGTACCAATCCAGCTAACTACTAGGGTTATAGCAGTAAACAACAGATACCCTCCTTTACTGCCTTGTCCCCCAGTCTGATGGAACTCATGAGTGGTGTGGAAGACAGACACTGAATAAGAACATTTTAAGAGGACTATTTTAAAACAGGAAGACCAAGGTGTTATTAGAGTACAGTCCTACAAGGTTCAGACTGTGGTTCTGAAAGGACATCCAGAGAAAGTCCACACATGCTGCTGCTGCTTGTTGGCTTAGCCCTGCCCTTGGGTTTTTGACCTCATTTCTACTTATTTCTCAAAACTCAGCCTGGATTTCAGTTCCTTCTAGAAGTCAAGTCTGGATTGTCCTCATAAAATCTGGATCAATCTTGCTGACTTCCTGATCCTGCCAAAACTTTCTGTGTTGCCTCTGTTCTGGCATTTACCAGATGTTTGGGAATTATTACTCGTTGGTCTCCCAACTAGATGGTGCATTCTTAAAGTGTTTTCTATATCTTAAGTGCCTAGCCAGTGCTTAATAACATTTGCTGAATAAATGAAGATTTAGAAATAGTGAATACTTACTTTCTGCTTAGGCCATAACAGCCAAAGCAAAAGATAACACAGGTGAAAGTTTTAACCAAAGTATTTTTGGTAGAGGTTTGGAGCATAGCACAAGGGCTGGATTACTCAGTGTGTAAGATTTCTATATTTCTGAAGCCCAGTGGAGTTAGAATGCTTGAGATCAGCTTGCCAAAACATACACTGGGTCATTTTAGCCCCAAGGTCCCAGAGGATACTTTGTCAGGATTTTTTGATTCCAAAATAAAAGATACTCTGTATATACAAAAATGAATCTAAGAAGTTTGGGACTACAATCATGTGCAACAAAACAATGTTTCAGTCAATGACAGACTGCATACGTGAAGGTACTTGGAGCAACAGGCTATTACCATACAACCTAGGTATGTAGTGGGCTACACCAACTAGGTTCATGGAAGTACATTCTGTAATTTTCTCACAAGGACAAATTGCCTAATGACACATTTCTCAGAACATATCTCCATCACTAAGTGATGCACGACAGTATAGTTTTAGTTTGAAAGAGCACAGACAATAAAAACTACACAGATAATAAAAAGTTAAAATTGCAGCTAATAAGCTTAAATTTGGGCTTTGGATATATATTTTTTGTCTAAATCTTCTATAATCTTTCTAAGAGAGCATAAGTTTATTAAAATTAATATAGATGTTTTAATACTGAGTTTATTAAAAGAAATAAAAAGTGGTCATAATTAATTCCAGAAGATTATCCTTGTAATCCAAGCCTCAGACTAGAAAAACAGTGCTATCTAGTGGTTAAATCTGGGATCAAGAGATGAGGCACCCCAGAGGCTGGAGAACCTCTAAGAGATTGTGTCTCAATCATTCAACTTTATGTCACAAGAGAAAAAAAGAAGTACACCCACGAGTCATTGGCTCATGGATGGGAAGGGGATTAGATACTGATTCAAGCAGTTGTATTCACAATAGACATGGCAAAGAGATTAAGAATTGGTACTCTGAAGTCAGATAGGCCCAAGTTCAAAACTTGGCTGCATAATAACCTTACACAGCTATTAGACCTGTTTAATCCTTGATTATTTTCAACTATCAAACGGAGATAAAAATACTACCTGCTAGAATTATTGACAAGAGTAAATGGGATGATATGTATAAAACGTTCAGCATAGTGCTTGGCATTTAGTAAGCCAAACAACTCAGTAAACATTAGCTTATTATTATTAATACTATTATTATTTTACTTGGGATATAAATTAATTTCAAATAATTGTAGAAAATCTTATAAATCTCTTGAAAATAGTTATGGAATCAATATCAAGAATATATTCTTGTAGAAAATATAAATATCAGACATTAGCTTTCTTTCTAAGTATATGGAAGCAAATTAAAACATAAAGTAGGTTCAATGTTACACTTCAATCGCATATTTCAGTTGTAGGTTTAGTATTTGCAATAAAAACAAAGTAATTATTAGAAATAAAAAGATTACAAAATGAACTCTGAAATATCATCTTATTCTGAATATAATCATGATAGTTTTTGCAATGAAAATATTTTCCTTAACCAAATCCTGAACTCTTCAACATCTAGTCTAATAAAACTATCTTTATATATGCAATCCCTTAAGATAAATTTGGTCATTTAGATTTTTCTATTTCGTTAGAAAAGTGAAGAAAAAACACAGAAATATCAATAAAAAATAAGTTTAAAAAATGCTTCAATCTATTATATTTATATTAGAACAGAGAATTTTATGTTTGTGATACATCTCCTTTGGCTTGCTCTATAATCTACTAGCTTAATTATCATAATAGCCTTAGAACTTAAGACTGTACATATTAGCTCTATAGAAATGCAATGCTCATCTGCTTTTATATAATGAACAGAAATACCACAATTCATAAGTAATTACAGCTGTCATCACATCCCAGACTTTAACTAACATTACAGTCACAAAACTGGGCTCCCCTAAGGCCAGTGCCCCAGTTATCTTAAATAATTTTTCCCTACATAATATCTAAAATATTTATTTTAAATTAAGTGTAGGATGGGTATATGTATGCCATTACAATCACATTACAATCATTAGGTTTGGCTGTAGTTCTTTTTTTAAAAAATAAATCATAATAAATAAAGTGTCTACATGCAGTAAAAGATACAATAAGAAATAGAACTGTATTATGGTCACAGTTGTGTCTAACTCAATCTGTATTCTTGCGAAGTTTTCAGCCTTTCTGGGCTTCTGTTTATTCATTTACAAAACAAAATAATCTCTAAAATCCAGAAAAGGTCAAACCTCTACATTTTTTGCCCTTGTTAGCATATCACAATGGCTGTAAAGTACAAACACTAAGTTATCCACAATAAACTTCTCTGACTTATTCCAACTCCTTTTTACAATTGTTAGAATAGGGAAAGGCAAAACAAAAACAAAAACATACTGAAAAAGACCTAAAATACTGCTACAGATTTTTACCTTTCCTCTCATCTATTAGTCACCTACTATCTATACTCTACCTTGGGCAGTAAGGATCCACATAGCTATTAAGAGATAATTACACCCATGCCTTCTTTTAAATTTACCTGATGATTATTTTAAGCTACCTTAGAAATTTGACACAAGTTTCTTTATTAGAATATGTTAATACTTCTAGAACTTAACTCATCAGCACTCAAAAAACCCTTGAATGAAAACCTGTCAAGTATTTTTCCATTTACAAATCTGGCAAACTGTGGTGACAATCTCACTGTGAATAAATGACACTCACAATGAATGCACGTATTTTTCACTATAGAAGGTAGGCAGAACCCCAATTACATAGCTTGGAGGGAAAGGAAACCAAAGTAAATAAAATCCAGTCAACACAAAATGGCACCCTGGACAGAGGAAGAGGACTCCATGCAGTTAGGCATGTAGGACTGGTTAGGGATTTTCAAAAGGAGTCAATCTTAGATAAGTATCAGAGGCTAAATTAATTCACCTTCTTTTTAGTGATTTTAGTACATCTTTTCACAAAAATCACACAAAGCTCATATGTATTTATGATTTTGCCAAATGCTTGTCAAAGTATTTCTAACTGTACTGGCAAATAAGGTAGAGTAAAATAGGTAACAGATTTAATACTTCAAATTGTATCTTAATGTACAGATACTTAAAATACTTAACATTACAAGAGCACTTTGCTTTTCAAAGGGTGCCTCAAACAACACTGATCAGAAATTTGTGAAGGTAACTTCAAATAATCACAAAAAACATTCACATTCATTAGAGATGTAAAAGAAGAACCCACTATATAACCTCAAGACAATGAGGTAAGGATGGAAAATCTGAGTACACAATCTGATAATAGCAAATACGTACATCCACACATTTTTACTTTTTAGTTATACTGAAACTTGAGAACTTCAGAGCAGCCTACTAAAATCACAGATGATCAAGATAAAAGTAGATAAAAAGAATGTGCAATTCATGAATATGGTTTATTACCATGGTTACAAACTTTCAGAACAGACCTCTGAGACATTGGACTGAGACTTTGCCGAATATCTGTTAAAAAAAAAAAAAAGAAAAGAAACTTAATATAGAGGTCTGTTCATCTCAAGGAATATAACAGTATTAGACATACTTTTTTGCAAAGTTAAGTATTTCAGGAAGTAATGCTTTAATACTCTGAAATACTTGAAGCAATAATGTTATGACTTTTACTTCCCATTTAATTATGCTACTGTAAACTCCACTGGGATAAGGTACATATGGTTCTTTGGATGAGACTTGTCACACTAATCAGGATTTTCTAGGTTCAGTGCATTGATTTGTTAATGTGCTACTGACATCGGCCAACTGGAATGCATATCTCTCTGACATTTGGCTTTGCAAGGGATTAAGCTAATTTATGAAACTTCTGAAGAGTTGTTTCCCACAGCACTGTATTCTTGACACATGACTTTAAAAGAATTAGGAAAAAAAAGAGCGATCTTCTCTGTGATAGTTCCCAAGAAAGTAACATGAAACAAGTAAGTGTTCACCTTTCGGCTTCGGTGTCCTTTTTCTTCTGTCGCGGAAGGCAGCCCCCGACTGCAAGGCCTCCAGCAGACTATCCATCACTCCTGTCTCATCACCCTCTATGAAAAGAGATGCAGGGAATTCCATCAGCCCTCAGGGTTACCATAGCAATGTCAAAGCATACATACAAACTGGTGATGGTGAAAAGAAAAAAAGATCAGATGCAGGACTAAGGCAACAATTTCAAAATAAGATAGGACTTTAACTCTCTCATAAATCAACTATTTTTTAATGAACTCTGTCTCATTAGTGCCTGTGTTACCATTCACTGAAGAGGACCAAGTTCCACTGATTCACTTCAGAGCACTGCTTTTATAGTCCAACGGCACAATAACTTTAAATGGAATGTGGCTCTAGTCATGTCTGTGTCTTGAGTTATCATAAATCACATTTCCTTTGTAGAAATGGGTTATTTTCAAAGCATCAGCCTCTATTCTAAAATAGACCAGGTGTGGGAGAATGTTTTTGTTGTTGTTACTGAGATTCTGCTGTCTAAACTTACCATACAAAATTATACTTCTATGCTAACTTTTGTGAACATGCCTCCTTTAATCAAAGGATAGTAGCCCTCTGACTTGGGGTGACACAAAACAATCACTACACAACTTTACAGAATGTATAAAAAGTTTATCTTATATAATGAAAAACAGACCAAAAGAAGTTCTCAAAGTCTAAAGGACTGTATCCCATTATGATTAACTTAAATTGATATTCTGTTAACGAAGGATGTGGATATAGAGCCAATTCTCTCCACAAATAACAGATTATCCTTATAATATCCCAGAATATTCTTATAATTTTTATAGTTATCAAATATTATTCAAAGGAAGCAGGGGAAAAAGCTTCAAAGAAACTATTGGGCCCAACCCAAATTCAAGGAAAAGCTAAGGACTTTCTGCCCCTCCAAAAGAGGTTACTTGCAGGCATTCCCTATGAAATTGTAGGGCTGGTATACCGTTACGTCTAAAGTAATGGAGAACTACTTTTCTCTGGATTTTTTTTTTCCTTTTTGAGACACAATCCCATTATAGAGAACAGATGACAAGCGAATGCAAGAATATAAATAACATACTCATTTACAATTTATAAACAGATATATAAATATAAATATGTGTCAGCCCTTTTTCCATGTGGTTCTATTTCATATTTTTAGAAGAATACTAAACCTTGTTGGTGTTATCAAAAAAGGTGGGTGAGAAATAGAGTATTTGGTTGTTAATTTTAATTCTAAAGTGGCTTGTTGGCTGTTTTAATTAAAACCCATTAAATATTTCGAACAGTATAATAAGAAGATATCTACATATCTTTGAAAATTTACACTCAAAAGAACTGCAGGTAATACCAAATATTTAAAACAGTGAATATATTTCATTAGTAAAAGGAAACATTTTAAAAATCTAAAATAAAATTTTTTCAAGCTGGCTAGTTAGCTCAGTTGATCAGAGTGTGATGCTGAAAACACTAAGGTCCAGGGTTTGATCTCAGTACTGGCCAGCAAAAAGTAAGTGAGTAAGTAAATAAATAAATTTTTTTCATCTTATGTTTACTTTTTCATGAGATTAAAAAAAATAAAACCTAAAGTTGAAATCAGATAGAAACAAATGAGCATGTTATCATATTGACAGCATTGATTATAAAGAAGGAAAAAGTTAATCGAAGTACCTTTGGATTACTTTTCATGGCATACACTTTAAGGAAAAACAAAAACACAAAGAAAATCCAAACTTTTCCTTTAGTAAATTTGTAGTGCTACTGATATAGTGATTCTGAAACTACTAAATGTGTATTATCAGACTGAGCAGATGGGGAAATGTGTTGATGTTGGCAACAGGGCTCACTGTGTGAAAGAAAATACAAATATGGAATGGGAGGAGAGAAAAAAACTAGGAAGTGTTGGATTGGATATACAGGTATCAATATAAACACAAAGTTTTTTTAAAAAAACCTTTTCCTAGCTTTATGGATCAAAAGAGTTCAGAAATAATGACACTACAGTATCAATGAGCACACCTAGCTCTCAGATCTTGATTTCTAAATACAATTACTAACTAAAAGGAACCAGAACACTTAAGGCAAGAAAGTATGAAATGAGTCAGGAACATATTGCTGTGCCAGAAAATAAGAAAGTGCTCAAAAACTGATAGGGATGTGTCAAAAGGACAGATAGGCCAGACTGAAGGGTTGCACTGCCAAATTTAGGACAATATGAGAATGGAATAAGTAATGATGGGAATAGATTATTACACACTGGGGAAAAAATCATACATCCACATTGATATTAAGAGAAAAAAAAATAGAAACGGAAAGCTCTTCATAGAAGAGTTTCAACTAAGAGATGTCAAAGATATGAGAGAAACAGAAAATTCACCACATCATAACTCACATAGTAAGAGATGATTCAGTTGCAAAAACTATTGTGTATGGCTGTGGGGGAACAAAGGCTGTGGGGAAATCTGTCTGGTAGGTACTACCTTAACCAAATAATCAAATCTGAATGAGATACACTGACAGCAACTGCCTCCTGAAGTGATGTGCAGCATAACCTATGTAACACTTTGCACAAAAATACTTAACCTGAATCTCAATGTGAGGAAACAATCATAGAGATCCAAAGTGAGGAACGTTCTGTGACACAACTGGCCTGGGCTCTAAAAGCTATCAATAGCACAAAAGATCAAGAAAGGAAGTGAGGGGGTGGGGAGGGGAGAAAAGAAAATACTACAGAACCATTCTAGATTAAAGGAGACTAAAAAGACATGACAACTAAATATAATGCAGTCCTTGATTAGTTCCTGAATTAGAAAAAAAAAAGTTATAAATTACATTATTGGGATAACAGGGGAAATGTGAATATGGACTGGATATTAGACTATTAATCAATTATATCATACTGATGTTAAGATATCAGAGTGTGATAATTGTATTATAGTTAGGCAAGATAACTCCATTGTTCTTAGGACATGTGAGGATACTTCAAAGAGTTCATGCAAAAATAGAATTAAAAGATAAAATGAATCATTCCATGAACTTTGTGAAGTGCCCCTGTAGATGCTGACATGTTTAGGCTCATTAGGGAACTTAACACACAGTTCCATGTTTTCTATGACCTGCCTTTGAACGTGTTTTTTTTCTCTATACAGAGCATCCATCTCACTTTCTCCTCCAAAGTAGCTCCTACCTCTTCTTCAAGACAGAGAACTGAGGAATCTTCCCTGACCCACACAGGCTGAACTGGGTGCCCTTCCATGTCCCAATGGCATGTGCTACATATAGCAATAAGTCCTTTTTGACTGTTTTTACCACTAGACTGTGAGCTCACCGAGGACAGGGATTATAGATTTCACTTATATTTGAAACCGAGCAAATGTCTCCACATTCTCTCTCTCGTCCATTGCTCCTACTTGGAACCTCTATCCCTGCTCTTGTCCCCCAGAGTTAATGACTCTTCTTGGCCTTCACTCCCACATACACAGTGAAGTAAAACAACCTGCTTCTAGTCTGAGCTATCAACTAACTACCTGTATGACACTGGACTATTTACATAATCATTCCTGTCATGTATAACAGAGATAATGTCTGCCTAGGGTTAATGATGTGATCAAATGAGATAATACAAATGAAAGCACTTGGTAAACTGCTAAATGATATAAAAATGTAGGGAAATAAATTCATTAAAAGAACTCCACAGTGAACTATAGGAAGTTCATGGAATATCTACTTATTATTAAATGTTTAAGCACTGTTGCAAATATGTTACAAATTAAGTAAATCTTTTACAATGTATTTGATTACGTCCTTGGTTAAGGACATAATCATGTATAACATTATTTCTAAGGGAAACTCTGACTTGAAGTACAAATACATTCTTGAAATAAAACCAATGTGTAAGACGGGGATATATAAGGAAGATATTCTTCCAAATGTTAAAAATGAATTTAGAACATTCATCGAACACATGGTTACCTGGCACATGGTACTGTGTGTCAGGACATTATTAGGTACTATGAATATCTAGGCCCTAAGAGTTAAAGAGAAATCTTTTCTAGAAGAGAAAAGGGTGGTAGGCATGGGAGTGATGTATATGAGCTACTGGAAATGTAAGGCTTCCTAGTAAATGATGACCCAAAGAAGAGGCAGGAGTTAGCCATGGCGGGAACTGGGAAGGGAATAGGATTCTTGGCAGAAGGAATAGCAGGTACAAAGGCAAAAGATATGAATAAAAACAAAAAATGAGCTATAATAAACTGATTCATATTTGTTTTCTAATACAAAAAAGAGAAATAAAAATTAGCCATTTTTTTATCATAGTCTAGAATTCAACTTCTCTAACTACAAGTCAATTTATTTTCAAAATATTTATAGCCTTTCTCCTGCTGTGAAAACTCGTTTAAGTAAACAGACTAACTGCAATAGTCAAAGTTTTTCCATGTCTGAATGACATAGCACCTTGTTTAATTTGTAATGGTATTTTAAAAATCACAACGTGTCAAGGGAAAGGAAGGGAGGGTTAAGGATGAGTTATTTAAAAAAAAAATTTTTTTTATTATGAATATTCATGAGATACAAAGCTAACTTTCACCCCTCGTGCCCATGATGTGAGGGCCATATTCCTGCAGCATACTCATTACCAGAAATTATTTTTGTACCCTGTGTCTCCCCGCCCCACACTCCACTTTGTAGTCCTAGGAATGTTCCAACACACTACTGTGGTCTTTCTTTCCTTCCATCTTTCTCTCTTAGCTCCCACATATGAGTGAGCACATGCGGTACTTATCCCTCTGTGATTTGCTTATTTCACTCAACGTAAGTTTCTCCAGGCTCATCCATGTTGTTGCAAATGGGAGTACTTCGTTCTTTTTTATAGCAGAGTAGTATTCCATGGTGTGTGTATGTGTGTGTGTGTATATATATACACACCACAGTTTCCTTATCCAATCACCCATCAATGAACATCTAGGTTGGTTCCATATCTTGGCTATTGTAAACAGAGCTGCAATGAACATGGGAGTACAGGTATTCCTTTGACATGATGATTTCCATTCCTCTGGGTATATACCCA